CCTTCAATAGAGGGCGCGCCACATAAATAGTGGTCTCAACAACGCATCAACACGGATGCTGCAAAATTGAACAAAAAAGAAGAAACTCGTTTCCGATGAACTACTCAAGAAATACGAAATGGATTAATAATTGAAATTTCGTGCAATTAGTTTTCACGATGTGTAGGAGAAGTAGTTTGAATGGAGTGAGAAACAGTGGAGCTATAAATATAATATGATCGTAACAATCTAGTGTTTGAAACGCTAGAAATCCACGTTGACTTCCATTAGGATTGTATTTGTCGCAATTAAAACCCTGTATTGTTACGGTCATAATAACTTGATTGTTTGACCTTTTCTTATGAATTTAAATCTGTTCATGTCAAACATCATGAAAAATGAGTGCACGAAAATTCATTTTAATGAACCGTGTATTTCTTGAGTTGTTGCCCCCAAAACGAGTTTGTTCTGTATTTCAAAATTGAATATTCATTGATTTGTCATGATGACTATGTTACATTATGAAATTGAATTTCATGAGAAATCATCAAACAATGAAAAAGAGTATACCCGAAACAAACGTGAAAAACAAACCAAATGCTACAGTTGACTTGGCGTCCCCACATGGCCATGCAGCGCTGGAAACGAAGCTGAAGCCCGTGCTGATTTGAAGCTTCTGGAGGAATGCAGAATCACCTCTGGTGTAGTTGCTAATGATCTAGGACAACCGGTGGTACCCGGTGGGTGGATGGGTCACACCCACCCACCAAGGGGGGGGGGGGGGGGGGTGACTCGTATCATAAGTTCAATGGGGCGCTGTTCAAATATGACAGTTACTAACACTGTAATTACATCATACTGTACAAAATACCCCCTCACCAAGCTGGCTGTGTGTCCTTTCTCTATGCTCTAACCGCGTTTTGTGCACAGGCGCACATTATTACATAATTTTTTGCGTGTCAGAATGAAGGGGGGGGGGGATACACATTATTAGAAATGAATTTCTATGAAACGATTTTCTTGGACAGAGCTGGGGGAGGGGGATTGACCCCGCCCCCCGTGCCCCCTGAGGGCCTGCAGCCAGTGAGCGCAGTGTACATGTATACGAACGACCCTAGCTGATGATAGAATCTGCCATATCTGTGGTTCCCCATTGCACGTAGTATGTATGAACAAAACTGTTTAGAAAAACCTGCCATAACTAAGTTTCCCTATTGCACGTGGTGTATATGAAACAAGATGATCAGACTATCGGTCATGTTTCGCCTGTTCCACGCATGGTATACAAACTAAGCAGGGTATGAAACCTGCCATAACTACATTTCCCCATTGCACGTTTTGGGTATGGACGAATTAGCTGTTTAGAAAATCCTGGCATAACGTTGTGGGTATAGTTCAAGCTGTTCAGAAAAACCTGACATAAATGCGTTTCCCCATTGGACGTTGTTGGTATGGACCAAGCTGCTTAGAAAAAAGGCTGACATAACTGCGTTTCCCTCACTGCACGTTGTAGGTATGGACCAAGCAGTCTAACAAAAACCTAGCATAATTGCGTTTCCCCGGCCCATTGCACGTTATAGGTAAGGACGAAGCTGTTTCCGATGAACTACTCAAGAAATACAAAATGGATTGAATTGAAAATTCGTGCAATTAGTTTTCACGATGTGTAGCATAAGTAGTTTGAATGGCGTGCGAAACCGTGGAGCTATCAATACAATATGATCGTAACAATCTAATGTTTTAAACGTTAAAATTCCTTGTTGACTTCCATTAGGATTGTATTTGTCGCAATTAAAACCCTGTATTGTTACGGTCATAATATCTTGATTATTGGACGTTTTTTTATGATGAAATTAAATCTTTTAATGTCAAACATCATGACAAATGAGTGTGCGAAAATTCAGTTTAATGTAACGTGTATTTCTTGAATTGTTGGCCCCAAATCGAGTTTGGTGGTGGAGATCGAGACCACTATAATAGAGGGCGCGCCACATAAATAGTGGTCTCAACAACGCATCAACACAAATGCTGCACAACTGAACAAAAAGAACAACCTCGTTTCCGATGAACTACTCAAGAAATACAAAATGGATTAAACTGAAATTTGGTGCAATTAGTTTTCACGATGTGTAGCATAAGTAGTTTGAATGGCGTGAGAAACCGTGGAGCTATAAATATAATATGATCGTAACAATCTAGTGTTTTAAACGTTAAAAATCCATGTTGACTTGCATTAGGATTGTACTTGTCGCAAAGAAAACTCAGCAGTGTTACGGTCATAATATCTTGATTATTGGACGTTTTTTTATGAAATTAAATCTTTTGATGTCAAACATCATGAAAAATGAGTGTGCGAAAATTCAGTTTAATGTAACGTGTATTTCTTGAATTGTTGGCCCCAACTCGAGTTTGGTTGTGGAGATCGAGACCACTATAATAGAGGGCGCGCCACATAAATAGTGGTCTCAACAACGCATCAACACAGATGCTGCACAACTGAACAAAAAGCACAACCTCGTTTCCGATGAACTACTCAAGAAAAACAAAATGGATTCAATTGAAATTTGGTGCAATTAGTTTTCACGATGTGTAGCATAAGTAGTTTGAATGGCGTGAGAAACCGTGGAGCTATAAATATAATATGATCGTAACAATCTAGTGTTTTAAACGTTAAAAATCCATGTTGACTTGCATTAGGATTGTACTTGTCGCAAATAAAACCCAACAGTGTTACGGTCATAATATCTTGATTATTGGACTTTTTTTATGAAATTAAATCTTTTGATGTCAAACATCATGAAAAATGAGTGTGCGAAAATTCAGTTTAATGTAACGTGTATTTCTTGAATTGTTGGCCCCAACTCGAGTTTGGTTGTGGAGATCGAGACCACTATAATAGAGGGCGCGCCACATAAATAGTGGTCTCAACAACGCATCAACACAGATGCTTCACAACTGAACAAAAAGAACAACCTCGTTTCCGATGAACTACTCAAGAAATACAAAATGGATTAAACTGAAATTTGGTGCAATTAGTTTTCACGATGTGTAGCATAAGTAGTTTGAATGGCGTGAGAAACCGTGGAGCTATAAATATAATATGATCGTAACAATCTAGTGTTTTAAACGTTAAAAATCCATGTTGACTTGCATTAGGATTGTACTTGTCGCAAAGAAAACTCAGCAGTGTTACGGTCATAATATCTTGATTATTGGACTTTTTTTTATGAAATTAAATCTTTTGATGTCAAACATCATGACAAATGAGTGTGCGAAAATTCAGTTTAATGTAATGTGTATTTCTTGAATTGTTGGCCCCAAACTCGAGTTTGGTTGTGGAGATCGAGACCACTATAATAGAGTGCGCGCCACATAAATAGTGGTCTCAACAACGCATCAACACAGATGCTGCACAACTGAACAAAAAGAACAACCTCGTTTCCGATGAACTACTCAAGAAATACTAAATGGATTAAACTGAAATTTGGTGCAATTAGTTTTCACGATGCGTAGCATAAGTTGTTTGAATGGCGTGAGAAACCGTGGAGCTATGAATATAATATGATCGTAACAATCTAGTGTTTTAAACGTTAAAAATCCATGTTGACTTGCATTATGATTGTACTTGTCGCAAATAAAACCCAGCATTGTTACGGTCATAATATCTTGATTATTGGACGTTTTTTTATGAAATTAAATCTTTTGATGTCAAACATCATGCAAAATGAGTGTGCGAAAATTCAGTTTAATGTAATGTGTATTTCTTGAATTGTTGGCCCCAAATCGAGTTTGGTTGTGGAGATCGAGACCACTATAATAGAGGGCGCGCCACATAAATAGTGGTCTCAACAACGCATCAACACAGATGCTGCACAACTGAACAAAATGAACAACCTCGTTTCCGATGAACCACTCAAGAAATACAAAATGGATTAAATTGAAATTTGGTGCAATTAGTTTTCACGATGTATTATATTACATTCATTTTTCGGCAGTTCCTGTCAAGATTCTAGAGTTTGGTGTCAAATACCATGGCAAAATATTACAGGAAATGTAATTGCAATACAATGTGTATATCTTGAGTTCCCAATTTCACAATAACTGTGTTGACATGACGAGAAAATACGGAGTGTCCCTACGGGTGCAACAGTGTATTAAAATTCCCATAGACACTAGTGCTAAATGCCCATACTTCTAAACTCTTTTAAAAATACTCAGAACTCTCACATGTATTTAAGCTGCACACAGAAATGGTGATCGAAATGTCAGCTCAGTTTTCTTTTCTTTTCAATTTTTGGTGGGTTGACCCGTTACTGTCTTTTCGTGAAATTCTTACCCAAAGAAGACGACCCCTATTTTTCCCAAAGCGGAAAAAAGTAGCCATCTTGAAAAACGATCCCTCTACATCATGAAAAAAATAGCGCCACTTTCGAGCTCCATTGCATCCAAAGTGCTCAGAATTGGAAGTCCCAAGTCTGGGCCAGTGGTTCATTGCCATATTTTTTTTAATTCCCCAATTTTACGGCCCTCAGAACTCTCTAATATAGAATATTTTGAGGGTATAACTGCTTTTCATGAGCTCGGCGGATGGGTTTAGGCCTATTAACAGGTGTGCACCCTGACACGTCACCACTGGTGTTGCAAATGATCTAGGACAATCCAGGAGGTGTGCAAAAAAGTGTATTGATTAAAATTCCGATTCGAATGAAAGTCACTTTTAATGGGAGACAATGAATGAAGAAAACACAGTCCAATATTGGATCATAATATCATAACATAAAAAGATTGTAATATATTTAAGGAAACCGTGGCAAACAAAAAACATTGCGAGAATAAAAACTAGTCTATGTTACCACCATCAAATGTAATCGTCAATGCCGACCCTGACATGCCCAATTAAGGTCATAACCATTGAGCTCGAAATAGAAGAAAAATAATTCCGTCATCATCACAAAATGTTAACTTTTTGTCACCGAGTTAATGACAAACAAAAGAGTCCCAAAGTGCAAGAGGGAACTTACGGTCTTTACAACAGGTTCGCCCTTTAGCACAGGAAGTCGTAGTCAACATGACGAGAGTAGCGCTGCAATAGCTGTGAACTGAAGGCACCCGGCGCCGCTGTTGCTGTTTTCAAGCGGATGACTGGTTCGAAAATTGGAGCGTATTTATATGGATCCTAACACAAAGCACCCACGAAAGCATCACAATACAAATTCCTACCATTCACTGATCATGGCTATAATAACTGACCTGAGACGTTTTGAAGTCTGGAAATGATTATTTTCTGGACTGTGACTTCCTTAAGGCGTTGAGAATTTTGGCTTGTTTGGGTAGAGTGCCAAAAATAATATCTAGCGTAATTAATTATGTGTTGTTCCATTAATTATTTTGGCGGGAGGGGATGAAACTGCTTTAGCTTCTTAAAAACTTCCCAACGGGCAACACTTTGGTTGAAATACAGTACTTTGTTAAGATTTTGTTGCGAGAACAGTCACTCTTCCAAGCCCAATCTTCCCTGATAATTTGTTTTCTCTCCATCAGAACTGTAAATGTAACTAGAAAGTCCCCGCCTTTCAATCCTTTTTTAACTCAAAAACTACTGAGCACCTCTCGCTCAACTAACGACTAATCAGTACAGACATTCCTGATCATTCCAGCCATACTTTCTTATGCCCAAAAGAGTGATGATGTGTACGAATTCATGCAATTTCTGACAAATGATACCGAAAACAGTTGCACTTTTGTATACGTGCAAGTTGTGGTTGACACTAAACTCACACGTATACAAAAGTGCACGTTTTTTCTCGGTACCATATTTTGTCATCAATTGCATTTGGTACACTATTTTGGCCAAACAAAGATAATGGCTGGATGATACTCTGCTTGTGTAATGTTTACGCAAATGCTCATTATTGTGCTTGGAAATGGAAAGTACACGTTTGGTGGTTTTGTGAAGGAGTTATGAGGAAAATGTTTGTCAGTAGATGAAGAATACTCAGTCTGTTTTAAATGCAACAATTGATGCTATTGTGACGAAAGATGACAAGCTAGTGTACTTTTGAAACTGTTGTTCAATAAATGGTAGAATATAGCGCAGTATTAACAAGACGGATATTGTCGAGTTATAGCCTAAGAAGGGTAAGAAAGGATAGGGACTTGTTGATCAAAGTGGGAGTTGAAATTGAAATAGGTAATGAATATTAACAATGTCACCGAGCATGCGCAGTTGTAGAATAAAAGCTAGTGTCTATTGAAAAAAAAGGCAAACAGTGATTTGAGAACAGGAAAAAAAGGGGCATATATATATGAACTTGACATGGGGTGGGTGGGTGGGGCGAACGAGAAGGGGGAATTAAGCAGTTGAGGGAAGTCCTGGGAGGAAGTCCTGGGAGGAAGTCCTGGGAGGAAGTCCTGGGAGGAAGTCCTGGGAGGAAGTCCTGGGAGGAAGTCCTGGGAGGAAGTCCTGGGAGGAAGTCCTGGGAGGAAGTCCTGGGAGGAAGTCCTGGGAGGAAGTCCTGGGAGGAAGTCCTGGGAGGAAGTCCTGGGAGGAAGTCCTGGGAGGAAGTCCTGGGAGGAAGTCCTGGGAGGAAGTCCTGGGAGGAAGTCCTGGGAGGAAGTCCTGGGAGGAAGTCCTGGGAGGAAGTCCTGGGAGGAAGTCCTGGGAGGAAGTCCTGGGAGGAAGTCCTGGGAGGAAGTCCTGGGAGGAAGTCCTGGGAGGAAGTCCTGGGAGGAAGTCCTGGGAGGAAGTCCTGGGAGGAAGTCCTGGGAGGAAGTCCTGGGAGGAAGTCCTGGGAGGAAGTCCTGGGAGGAAGTCCTGGGAGGAAGTCCTGGGAGGAAGTCCTGGGAGGAAGTCCTGGGAGGAAGTCCTGGGAGGAAGTCCTGGGAGGAAGTCCTGGGAGGAAGTCCAGGGAAGTCCAGGAAAGCCAGGGAAGAAGAAGTCCAGGGAAGTCCAGGGAAGTCCAAAGAAGAAGTCCAGGGAAGAAGAAGTCCAGGGAAGAAGAAGTCCAGGGAAGAAGAAGTCCAGGGAAGTCCAGGGAAGTCGTGGGAAGTCCAGGGAAGAAGAAGTCCAGGGAAGAAGTCCAGGGAAGTCCAGGGAAGTCGTGGGAAGTCCAGGGAAGTCGTGGGAAGTCCAGGGAAGTCCAGGGAAGTCCAGGGAAGTCGTGGGAAGTCGTGGGAAGTCGTGGGAAGTCGTGGGAAGTCGTGGGAAGTCGTGGGAAGTCGTGGGTTGTGGTAAGTCGTGGGTTGCTGTTGGAAGTTGTGGGTTGTTGTGGGTTGTTGTGGGTTGTTGTGGGTTGTTGTGGGAAGTTGTGGGTTGTGGGTTGTGGGTTGTTGTGGGTTGTTGTGGGTTGTTGTGGGTTGTTGTGGGTTGTAGGAAGTTGTTGGAAGTTGTAGGAAGTTGTAGGAATTTGTTGGAAGTTGTTGGAAGTTGTAGGAAGTTGTTGGAATTTGTTGGAAGTTGTAGGAAGTTGTAGGAAGTTGTAGGAATTTGTTGGAAGTTGTTGGAAGTTGTAGGAAGTTGTTGGAATTTATTGGAAGTTGTCGGAAGTTGGAATTTGTTGGAATTTGTTGGAAGTTGTTGGAAGTTGTAGGAAGTTGTTGGAAGTTGTTGGAATTTGTAAAAAGCTGTTGTAAGTTGTTGGAATTTGTTGGAATTTGTAGGAAATTGTAGGAAGTAGTAATAAGTTGTTGGAATTTGTAGGAAATTGTAGGAAGTTGTAGGAATTTGTTGGAATTTGTAGGAATTTGTTGGAAGTTGTTGGAAGTTGTAGGAAGTTGTTGGAATTGATTGGAAGTTGTTGGAAGTTGTAGGAAGTTGAAGGAAGTTGTAGGAATTTGTTGGAATTTGTAGGAAGTTGTTTGAAGTTGTTGGAAGTTGTTGGAAGTTGTTGGAATTTATTGAAAGTTGTAGGAAGTTGTAGGAAGTTGTTGGAATTTGTTGGAATTTGTAGGAAATTGTAGGAAGTTGTAGGAAGTTGTAGGAAGTTGTTGGAAGTTGTAGGAATTTGTAGGAATTTGATGGAATTTGTAGGAATTTGTAGGAATTTGTAGGAAGTTGGAATTTGTAGGAAATTGTAGGAAGTTGTAGGAAGTTGTAGGAAATTGTAGGAAGTTGTAGGAAGTTGTTGGAATTTGTAGGAAGTTGTAGGAAGTTGGAAGTTGTTGGAAGTTGTAGGAATTTGATGGAATTTGTAGGAATTTGTAGGAAGTTGTAGGAAGTTGTAGGAAGTTGTTGGAATGTGTAGGAAGTTGTAGGAAGTTGTTGGAAGTTGTATGAATTTGTAGGAATTTGATGGAATTTGTAGGAATTTGTAGGAAGTTGTAGGAAGTTGTTGGAATTTGTAGGAAATTGATGGAATTTGTAGGAATTTGTAGGAAGTTGTAGGAAGTTGTAGGAAGTTGTAGGAATTTGTTGGAAGTTGTAGGAAGTTGTAGGAAGTTGGAAGTTGTAGGAATTTGTAGGAATTTGGAATTTGTAGGAATTTGTAGGGAGTTGTAGGAATTTGTTGGAATTTGTAGGAAATTGTAGGAAGTTGTAGGAAGTTGTTGGAAGTTGTTGGAAGTTGTAGGAATTTGTAGGAATTTGATGGAATTTGTAGGAAGTTGTAGGAAGTTGTAGGAAGTTGTTGGAAGTTGTAGGAATTTGGAATTTGTAGGAATTTGTAGGGAGTTGTAGGAATTTGTTGGAATTTGTAGGAAATTGTAGGAAGTTGTAGGAAGTTGTTGGAAGTTGTTGGAAGTTGTAGGAATTTGTAGGAATTTGATGGAATTTGTAGGAAGTTGTAGGAAGTTGTAGGAAGTTGTTGGAATTTGCAGGAACTTGTAGGGAGTTGTAGGAATTTGTTGGAATTTGTAGGAAATTGTAGGAAGTTGTAGGAAGTTGTTGGAAGTTGTTGGAAGTTGTAGGAATTTGTAGGAATTTGATGGAATTTGTAGGAAGTTGTAGGAAGTTGTAGGAAGTTGTTGGAAGTTGTAGGAATTTGTAGGAATTTGGAATTTGTAGGAATTTGTAGGGAGTTGTAGGAATTTGTTGGAATTTGTAGGAAATTGTAGGAAGTTGTAGGAAGTTGTTGGAAGTTGTTGGAAGTTGTAGGAATTTGTAGGAATTTGATGGAATTTGTAGGAAGTTGTAGGAAGTTGTAGGAAGTTGTTGGAATTTGTAGGAACTTGTAGGAAGTTGTAGGAAGTTGTAGGAAATTGTAGAAAGTTGTAGGAAGTTGTTGGAATTCGTAGGAAGTTGTAGGAAGTTGTTGGAAGTTGTAGGAATTTGTAGTAATTTGATGGATTTGTAGGAATTTGTAGGAAGTTGTAGGAAGATGTTGGAATTTGTAGGAAATTATAGGAAGTTGTTGGAAGTTGTAGGAATTTGATGGAATTGGTAGGAATTTGTAGGAAGTTGTAGGAAGTTGTTGGAATTTGTAGGAAATTGTAGGAAGTTGTAGGAAGTTATAGGAAATTGTAGGAAGTTGTAGGAAGTTGTTGGAAGTTGTAGGAATTTGTAGGAATTTGATGGAATTTGTAGGATTTTGTTGGAAGTTGTAGAAATTAGTAGGAATTTGATGGAATTTGTAGGGAGTTGTAGGAATTTGTTGGAATTTGTAGGAAATTGTAGGAAGTTGTAGGAATTTGTTGGAAGTTGTAGGAATTTGTAAGAATTTGATGGAATTTGTAGGAATTTGTAGGAAGTTGTAGGAAGTTGTTGGAATTTGTAGGAAGTTGTAGGAAGTTGTAGGAAGTTGTAATAAGTTGTTGGAAGTTGTAGGAATTTGTAGGAATTTGATGGAATTTGTAGGAATTTGTTGGAAGTTGTAGGAATTAGTAGGAATTTGATGGAATTTGTAGGGAGTTGTAGGAATTTGTTGGAATTTGTAGGAAATTGTAGGAAGTTGTAGGAATTTGTTGGAAGTTGTAGGAATTTGTAAGAATTTGATGGAATTTGATGGAATTTGTAGGAAGTTGTAGGAAGTTGTTGGAATTTGTAGGAAGTTGTAGGAAGTTGTAGGAAGTTGTAATAAGTTGTTGGAAGTTGTAGGAATTTGTAGGAATTTGATGGAATTTGTAGGAATTTGTTGGAAGTTGTAGGAATTAGTAGGAATTTGATGGAATTTGATGGAATTTGTAGGAATTTGTAGGGAGTTGTAGGAATTTGTTGGAATTTGTAGGAA